TGTGTGTGTGTGTGTGTGTGTGTGTGTGTGTATGATTTTGACAGAAGGTGTATGCACTCACCAGAGAGAGATGGAAAAAAGAGAGAGAGGGAAACTGAGGAATCCCACCCCCTGGGGGGATAGCCACACTACAATCCCTTCTCCTCTATTCTCCTCTTAGGATTTCGGGCACACACATGTGCCCTGGTGTGTTTATCAAGCCTCTGGGTTCAACATTTGGACTGCAGAGTTAGCCATGTGGGGTCCAGCGCCTTAACCTCCACACCACCTGCTGCCTCATGACTGCCTCTTTGACAAAGGGAAATTAGCTTTCTAATTAACGAGCTTTTCTATTAGCAGGTTTGTAAGGTTAAAGAAAAACCTCAACGCCAATGCAGTTTTCCATGGCTGTCTTTGTTGCCCCCAAGACCACTGAGCGTGAAGATGGAGCTGGGTCGTTGGCTCCTATTCTTCATCAAGACCTTTTGTGCTTTGGGGCTGAACATTGCAGAAATTACATCTTGTCCAACTGTTAGAGTGAAGATTAACGATTAATTTTTAAAACGCATATTAGTTGGTGAAACAACGATTCCAGACAAGTGTGTGGGCCGGAGCTGCTGGCTTGTTGCGTAGTGTGCCAATTTCCACATAGGCAGTTTGCACACACTAGGGCTTTATTGCAAAAGATTTCAACCGGGAGAGTGATCGAGTCCAAGACTCTAAAGGACCAGCTCCACCATGGAGAGGGAAGCAGGCCAGGGGATTAGCAGTTGGCATAATGGTTATGTCACTGGACTCCCATGTAGTCAACCGCTGTTTGAGTCCCGGACCCGGTGGCTTAAACTCAGGCCGGTGCGTGTGCGTGTGTGCCCAAGATCCCGAGAGGAGAATGGAGGAGAAGGGATTGCGGTGTGGCCATCCCCCCTGGGGGGTGGTTTCTCACTTTCTGCCTCTCTCTGTCTTTCTGGCGAGTGCATACGCCCTATAGCAAAAACCTCTCCAAAAAAAAAGAGACAAGCCAGGGCTGTGAT